TTTCTAACTTGAGTTACTCTGACTTCAGCTTTCAGCCACTGTTTTTGTTCTGCCTGCCTCTGCGCAGTTCGAGCCCTTCTCTATCTGCTGTTTTCTCCCCGCGAAGGCCTCAGACACCTGAGCTAAACAGGCCAAGTTATTTCAGTCTCCCACTGGCAGGTGTTTTCTCCTGCCCTCCAGATCCCCTCCAATTCTCCGATGTGGCCCTCAGAGCCCCAGGATCAGGCTCACCAATACCCTGTACAGAGGAAAATCCCTCCTAGGGCTTGTCTGCTCTTGGAAATTGACCCACTAGCTATTTCGGAATAAGCCCCATGTGGACACTGGGCATGGACTGAGCTAAGCAGGATCACGGCCCTTTCACTCCAGAATGTCCAAGGAGCTATTTTGGTACATTTCCAGGCACTGACAAGCCCCTCCCCACCTTTTTGCCTCCTCTAGCAGCTTCCCTCAAGGCCTCAGCAGCCCCCAGGCCTCGGCAGCCAGCTGGATCCCCTCCACACTCCCCTCACAATTTGACCATGGCTGAGGCACTGAATGGAGATGGAGAGCAGGGCCAGCCCCACGCCCCGACCCCCCAATAGCCTCATAGATACACTGAATGGGGGAGGGGCTCCTGCAGCACCATCCCACCCCTCAGAGTTTTATGGGGCCACAGTGCCCTCCCAATAGGGCTCTCGCCATGGAGGCTGGGGAGCCCAGATCCTGAGGTGCCTCCAAAACAAAGGGTTCTGGTCTGTATCCCAGTGTCCTGTTGAGGCCCCTCTCCCCCTTGCATGGCCACGCCCCCCAGACTCTCCAGGCCCCAGCCCTGCCCCCCAGACTCACCGGGCCCCGGTCCTGCTGCTTGCTCCTCTTCATCAGTGAAGAGCTCATCCTCGCCCTCCAGCAGCAGGAAGTCATCTGGGGGCCAACGCAGCTCCCCGCTCTCCACCTCTCCTGTCTCTGTGGGTTCCACCACGATGGACGGCAGCCGGGCCTTTCCCTGCACTGGACTTCCAAGGGGGCCCTCGCATGGCTTCCTGGGGGGAGGATCTTTGCACATCTCCTTGCACAGCCCTTCACGTGGCTCCATGGGGGGATCCCTGCACAGCTCCCAGGGAGGAATGTCCTCACACAGCTCCACGCATGCCACCTCGCAGGGCTCCCTGGGGGGATCCTCGCACATCGCCTCGCACAGCTCCTCAGGGGGACCTTTGCACAACCCCTCGCACGGCCCCATAGGGGTGCCTTTGCCCATCTCACACGGCTCCAGGAAGAACTAGGCACAGAGGATAAGGGGGTTGGTTTGGGCGCTGGGGGAGCCTAGCTACCCAGAGACCTGGAATGGCGGGGAGGAAGGCAGGGCAGTAAGGCCCTGATATGAGAATGGGGGTCTGGATCTGATCTACAGGAGGTGGGGACAGCAGCGCAGGGGGCTCTGTCCTGAGGGCTCACCTAGCTCTCCAGGGGGCCTCATCCCAGGGGACCCAGTGGGGGGATGTCCCAGGAAGGGGGTGTCTCACCTGGTTCTGTGCGGGAGGCTCTGTCTGGATGAGGCTCCTTCCCACTTCTGATAGCCACTGCATCTCCTGGTCAGTGCTGTGGGGCCGGGACAGGCTGTTCCGCCCTGGGGTTGCCACAGGTAGCTGGATGGGGGTGCAGGCCTCACCAGGGGTCAGCACTCCCTGGGATGGAGCACCACCACAATCTCGAGTTCCTTCAGCCATGGCGATGCTGGGGGTAGAAACTGGGAGTTGTAGTAAGAGGAGGCCCTAAGATATAAACCTTGGTATCAGAGGCCTGGTATGAGGCCTAAGGCCTGAACTAAAGTAATGGTCAAGACTTTGCTAACATAAAGCAAAGTTAAGCTGTGAGCCAGAGGCAGGCCCTGCTCACAGAAGCTGACAAGGAAAGGGCTGATGCTGCAAAAAGAGACATACCTAAAAGGTACTGGACACCAGATATCAGAACATTCGCATACTTGTACATTCCACACACAACAAGGAACAGGCTGACCCATCCCAATGACAGGGCCAAAAGGGTAAAATGATGGATAGAGTTGTTTTTATCGAACCAGTCTGTACAAAGTGAGAGGCGGCACCTTGCTACATAGAGGGGTTGCACCTCAATACGTCAGGAGTGATGTGTAACTTGTTTGTACCTGTGTATAAAAGTGTACCCCTGGGGTGGTGTCTTTGTCCGGCCGAGGGGGCAGTGGAAAGTCCCGCCACTGACTGAGCCGGGTCCATTGCCAAGAGGCACTTTCTCGTAGTATGCCTGGTAAACTAAGTAATCTACGGGGAACTGCCATTGTGTCCAAGGTCGCAATAAACCTAGTCGACGTGACTTTGCATCTTACTAGACTCTGTGGTTATTGGGGGTTCTCTTCGGGTCTGCTGGGTCAGCTATCTGCGCAGAGCTGGGGCAGCACACAGAGGGAACACACGCACGCAGCCGAGTGATATCAACATAGGAGAAAGCAGAGCACCACACCGGTAGCATCTAACAACAGGAGTCAGAGCTGGGAATGGCCCCGTCTCCTTCCTCCACCCAGCCAGGGTTAAGCCCCATGTCTATTCCCCAGGATCCAAGCCCTAAAGTTCAGACACCTCTGCACTGGGAATTCAGGCCCTTCACCAGATTTTTTTTTGGGGGGGGGAGGGGGAGGATTCCCCACACCACAAAATCCCATATACACACACTGGGACTCCTGGTCCTTCCCCTGTGGGGGATCCTGAGCCCCACAGACTCCACATACTGGGGCTCCCAGCCCTTCCCCTGGGGGGGAGCACTTCCCTGCCCCAAAGAGCCTCACTGTGACACCCCCGACCCTTGGCAGGGGTTACTTCCCCCTTTCAGCTAGACTATCACCCCCCTCCTCCATGAGAAGCCCCATTATGGGGACAGAGGGAGTTTGTGCCTGTGCTGACCCCCCACCCCAGCACCCCGGTCGGTCACTCACCATCAGGCACTGCCCTGGGCCATCGCAGGATGTGCGGGGATTACAGGGCCCAGCAGTCCCCAGGGCAAGGAGCTGACAGATGCTCCAGGCGCCATAAGCGCTTTGTCCTGACACCAAGCTAATCCTCTGGGCACAACAGCCCTATGGTGCCGGGGGGAGGGGGCGGGGGGAGGGGCTGGGATAGAGGGATGGGGGGCTGGATTCCTCTAGTCAGTCCTCCCCGCTAGGACCCTCTGCATTGTCAGTGCCCCCCAACCTGACAAGAGCATCCCTGCTGGGCCCCCCTGTACTCCCAGCCCTTGGATCCCCCCTGCATTCAATACTCCCCACCCAAGGGAGAGTTCTCTCCTCTTGGATCCCCTCCTCCCTGGACTTCACTCTCAACCCCATCCCCCACACTATGAGGGCTGCCTGCTCCAGGGAGATGTTCCCACCCCCTGCACCTACAGACTAAGGTGGGAGCCCAGACCAGATAGGGGCGGGGGCAGCTGCTGCCCTGGGCGGGAGTTGTCCCAGGACAGGGATAATAACATGAGGGGAGGATTGGAATCAGTGCTTCAGTTAATCACCCAGTGACCTCATGGGAACTGCCCAAGCAGCTAACTGGCTGCCCTGGAGGTGGGGGAGCTCTTTAAAGACCAGATAGGGGACCCAGATCTCAGCTTCTGGCATGAAGCTTGCACACCCCAGCTAAGGGGCAAGGCCACTGGATCCCTGGGACTGCTCCAGTTGGGGGGGGGGGGGAGAAGAGATTGAGTCAGCAGATGCTACTGATACAGGCTGGCTTTCACCATGAACTGGGTCAGGGCAGGACTGGATTAATTTGTCAGCCATGGAGCAATGAATAGGGCCCCAGAGCCCCTGGGATTGGGAAGGCCCCACCTCAAGTTTTGTCCAGTTTCCAGGCCCCTCCGTGGCCCCATTTCCCTGTCATGCCCAGGTCTAAGACAGCCTGATTACATGACTCCCAAAGTTTAAAGGGGTCTTAATGGGATTGGGGTGATGAGCCCTGGACAGATTAGTGAGGCCACTATGAGGCACATTCACAGCATCATGGGCTGTGGGAGAAATACCCCCACCCTTTCCCAGGCCATTTTATCATTACAGACCACAAGATGGGGAGCCTCAGAACCAATGATTTGCCCACTGAGGGATGGAGACAGAAGGTTGGATGTCCCCTGCTCCTACTTGCTTCCCAGGGAGGACCATGGCACAAATCCCCACCCCCTCCCCCCGCCTGGTGGAGAGGAACCACAACAGAACTGCCTTCAGGACAGAAGGTTCCCTGGCCATGTGCAGCCCTGGGATTGATCAGATGAAATCCATTTGGCTCATTCGTGTCTCCCTAGTGCACTGCCCAAGACTAATGCAGAAGGGGATCAGCGGAGCACTGACGCAGGTTTAGGGGTTGTCTGAGGGAAGCCTGGCCTGGGGAGGCCCAGTCACAGGAAGAGGCAGGGGGAGGGGTCAATGGAACTAACTAAGGCCTCTGTAGGTGCTGAGCATGGGAGCAGCCTGGGCAGAGCGAGACCTGCACAAATACACTCCCCCATCTACACCGCAAGGGGCTGACTCCTCTGTGCCTCTCCAGATGGGGCTGCCCAGTGGGGACCAGACTGAAAACCCCAGAGACCAGAGCAAGCACACTGACCTAGCCACAAAACAGCTCCACCCCTTTCTATGATGGGGGAGCAGGCATCTGGCCCGTCCCAGGCCCACACCACCCCTCTTTATGCTGGGCCGTCTGACCCACCCACACACCCCTGCCCTATGGTGGGAGATCGGGCCGTCTGGCCCAGCCACACACCCTCTCTGCAGTGGGGGAGCGGATAGGCTGGCCCAGCCAGATACACAACCCTCTCTATGGCATAAGTCCTCTGATCTCTATGGTTGCAATGGGACGCTCTGGCCCACCAGTCCCTCCTTTCTATGGTAGCAAAAATCGAACATTCTGGCCCCACTCTGCTGTCTCTCTATAGTAGCAAAAGGGGGCGCTCTATCCACAGTGCATGCTCTCTATGGTGGTGCCTGGCTCATACCGCCCCTCTATGGTAGCATGACAGGACGCTCTGCCCGGACCCCTCCCCCACTCTCTCTGGTTACCTTCTGTCCGCTACATCCCCCGGGAAGCCAGAACTCTGTGGCTACTCAGGGTTTTTCATACCGCGCCCTAATGGAACTCCTGCGACGCCTGGTGCTGGGGAGCCTGATGGTTGCTGGGACCACAGGGCTGGGGGTCGGGCTCTGGGCGCTGGCAACGCCACGAGAGGAGCGCAGGCGGGAGATAGCCAAGGTGAGGGGGCCTGGAAACTACCTCCCCTGGGGCGGGTCACAGAGCAGGGGGGGCCTGGAAACCAACATTTCTTGGGTTGGGAGGAGAAGGGAACTAGAAATTGTTGCTCCACTCTCTTTTCAGGGAGAAGGGGGAGGTCTAGAAATCACCAAACACCTCGCCCCCCCTACCGACCACTCCCTTCTCTCCTCAGGAGCTGCCGGAGACAAACCCCCTGCTCTGGGCAGAGAGGCGACACCAGAATGAGCTGGTAATGGCAGCGATCAAAGAAGCAGCTGAAACAAATGAGAATGTGGCCCGGAGGTCTTCATCGGACTGGAGCAAGTGACAGCTGACCATCACCCTCCCAAACGGGAGCCAAGGCAACTGGTACTGAGACCCCCCTGAGATGGAGCAGGCTGCATTTTCCATCCCTGAAGCCATCTGTGGTCTCCCACAGTCCAGAATGGGATGGACACTCCCTGGCTGTCAGCAGCTGTAATGATCAGTGACCATTATGCTCCCGGGAGCCTCTGTCTCTTATTCCCAGACCCTGGTCACACCCACTGGGTATGGGGGTTATGCAGATCTGACAGAGTGAAAACTACAGCATGGGGTAAAGAAGCAGCATTTTCAGGTCTTTAATAAACTACCCTTGTAAAGACCTGTCTGTTGTTGTGGTTAAAGCAGCTGGTGCAATGGGGTTGCTAATCATCATGCCTCCCACAGAACTGAATTTTGATAATATCCAGGCAGCTGGTGGGGGTAGATGCCCCTCCCAGCAGGCTAAAAACTGCACAGGCTGATATTGTTATTCCTCCACCTTTCCCACTCTGCTGTTGTGCCTTATCACCCTGTGAGGGTTTGGCTTTTCTATTGCAAGATCTTTGGCGTAGGGTCTGTTGTTTGCTCCTTGGGGGCTCCTTGGAGCAAAGGGACCAAGCGACTTTCTCCGTTGGATCATATGAACTGGATCCATAAAATCTCTGAACGTTAAATCTCACCAAATGAGGGTCAATCCATTCTCTAGGTCTTTAAAGCCCCCACTACAATGGGATCCTGGCTTGACTGGCCTTCAGCAACAGAAACATTAAGTAATTGTAGCTTTATTCTTCCTTCTGTCAGTTTGGTGTACCTACTTCTCATGGTATACTGGGATTGTGCACTCGGGGTAGGGACCAGCTCTTCTCCATAGGTCCCTGATGGGAGCTTCTAGATGTAGAGAATGCTGCAGTCCGTATTCTCAGCAGCACAGGCTATCATGAGTGTAGCACACCTGCCTCCTGCCCTCTATACTGACTTCCCCTAAGTTAGACTCAAGGCCTTGGTTCTTATCTTCAGTGTGCTCCATGGCTAAGCCCAAGTTGCCAAAAGCTTCAGGACAAGAAGAGCAGAGCACTCTGCCCCTCAGGCACAACAGAACTCTGGCATCAGTTTGTCTGTCCAGGAGACAGTGCTTCCCTGGGGGCTAGTCCCAGGTTGTAATAAACTCTCCCAGGAACTAAGAATCAACCCAAATTTCCCCATCTTCCACTCCAACGGTCTGGGGAACATCCGCACATAGAATATATCATCTCTAAAAAAACCCGCCATAATGCTAGCAGTAACAAAAATCTTCCTTTGCTCCTCCTTGTAGAAAAAACCAGCTGTGGCAAATGTTAGTCATATCATTTAATGCATCATTCACAAAGAAGCCAGGTACCACAGGGAATAGGGCTGTATAAGAACCAGAATGGAGCAGAGTTGGTGCTACTGCAATACAAAGGAATAATGGTAATGTTGAATAATAGTTAATACAGATAAAGTTTTTGATATAAATAACAACTAAACTAATTAAGCCTCCTGTTGCTTTGTGCCCTGGCCTGTGCCCCTTGCTCTGGTATCTATTCAGACTGTACTGAAGGAACTATGTTTGATTATTTATAGGATAATCCCAGTAAAGGGTGAGACCTGTATCAATAACGTACACTATTAAAAAGGGCAAAGTGAAACAAAACCTTGCAACAGCTACTGAGAATTCCAAGTTTTCCAACCCAAGCTTATGCTCATGCTGTGTTCCCTACAGCACCCCTGCTGGGAGAGTCTGGCTCTGGAGTACCTGAGAGCTCCTCTCACAGTCAATATTCCTGTCCTGCTTCCTACACTACCCCTGCTGGGAGAAGCCAGACCTAGAGTATCTGGGAGCTCCCTCCCTCCAGCTCGCTCTGCTGGAAGACGCTGGAACTGGAGTAGCCAGGAGCTACCCCCACAGCCAGCGCTCCTGGTCCCAGATGTTTATGTAGCTGGGGACGTGTAATGGTTCTACCTCAGCCCCACAAAGGGCTTGTCATGGGGACCTAGGGTGACCAGACAGCAAGTGTGAAAAATCGGGACAGGGGGTGTGGGGTAATAGGAGCCCATATAAAAAAAAGCCCCAAATATCGGGACTGTCCCTATAAAATCGGGACATCTGGTCACCCTATGGGGACCCAGCTGTAGGGCTCTCTTCAACTTTCCTCATCCTCCCTGGGGTGCAGCCTGGGCTCCAGTTCCTCTGGGGGCAATGGCAGCTGTCCCAGGAGGGGAGACTGTTTCCATCAGGATATGCCCAAGGGGGGCCTTGCACAGAGGCCGTCAGGGACGGAGGGGTTTGGGGAGGGAGTAGGTTCTTCAGAGCTCGGAACTATCAGCGAGTAGGCGACATTGACACACGGACACTAGACGCTGTGACACTGCACCCTCACGGGAAGCGTTTCCTGTTCCGTTCTTCCGCTCCCTAGAACCCCAATAGGTTGGGTCAGTACTTCCGGTGGCCAGGTTCCGCTGAGTTACAAAAGTCTCTATTGCCGGTTTCCTTGCTACCAAGGGACTTTCCCCGTATTTCCGGTTCTCCAATGGGCGCCGCCATCTTCGGAATCGGCTTCTTCCTGCTGCTTCTGTCCCCGCCGCCATGTCTAAGGCCTTGGAGCAGGGCAAGGAGACCGCGCCTCCCCTCAAGCCGCTGTCCGAGAGCTGCTGGGGCTGCCGCATCCTGTCCGGCTCGGTGCTGATCGGGGCCGGGTTCTGGGTCTATCTAGGCTCGCGCAGGGTCATAAGCCGGGGCATCGCCTCCTCCGTAGGGAACATCGTCCAGCTCTTCTTCGCAGCCAGTGAGTGCGCGCGTCAGGGGTCACGACGGGGTCAGGGGTGGGCAGAGCGTGCCCTATCTCCATGAGAACCGTCCCACACGTCAGTGAGTGCTGGGGTCACAGGTCGTATTGGCGGTCAGGGACATGTGACGTCATGGGCAGGGGGTTATAGGTCACCTTAAGGCCAGGGTTCAAGGGCCACACCAGCTACGTGGGACCAGCCATACAAATCACCCCCATTAGGGGCATTCCAGCCTCTAGTGTAGGGAAGGGTCCGTGGCATTACCCCATCTCTCTGGGACTGGGGGGTCACTGAGGTATGGGGCAAGGGGGATCATAGGTCATTGAGGGGTTAGGATAACTTCCATGGCTCCCACTACTCCTACTTCTATGCTGACTTTAAGGAGCATATGGGCTTATGATCTAGCAAGTCCCCACCTCCAGGGAAACTATAACCTACATGTTGACCATCCCCTTTAAGTTCCTAGGGGTCATGCCCTTAAGGGGAGAGTCAGTCCTATACAGCCACCCCCTGATGTCTCCCTCCTTTCTCCCCTTCAGATCTCCTCTGCTGCGGCATAATCATCCTAGCTGATCCATTTGGGAAACAGAAGAAGTAGAACAAACAAGGCAGGACAAAGTGTAGCTGCTGCCTCCATCAGCGCTGGCCAAGTCAAACAATGTGTATTTGGGACAATAACATGAATCTAAGAGAAAACTGTTTGCTTTTTCTTACTATGGTAGCCTCACAGTGGTACCTGGGAGAGAAGAGACCCACCCCAACTCCCCCATTACTACAATCCCCATCTTCTTCTCCACTAAGCTACAGCTGCCTGCAACCCTTCCCTCTCTGCTTGCCTTATGCCATGGCAGCTCCCCAGACTGCCCCTCTGGTGTAATCCCCCAGACTAGCTCCTGCTTATGGGATGAGCTATGACAGTATTTCTCCCCCTGTCTTGACTCACTCTGTTCATTCCAGCATCCAGTTCTAATTTAACCTCCTGCTGCTTTGAACCCCCCCTTGGCTCCAGCTAGGCTCTGCTCAACAAGAACTGGCCCCATGGGGCCTGGACTCTCAGAACCGTGGGGGAGGAACTGCATTTCAATCTATGCTAGGAAGTAGTGACTCAGAAAGACAGGGATAATCAGCTGACTAGGAGCTCCTAGTGTAGTGCTTTAGCCAAAAGGGATACTGTGATCCTTGGCTGTATGAACAGGGGAATCAGGGCCGGCGCAACCCATTAGGCGACCTAGGCAGTCGCCTAGGGCGCTACAATTTGGGGGGCGGCGACCGCAGTGGTATTTCAGTGGCGGGCAGCATTGCGGGGCGGGACCTTCCGCCGCCTACGGCGGCAGAAAAGCTGGCGGCGCTCCTGAGGGGACTCTCAGGTCAGAAAAGAGGCTTTATTCCCCCTGTAGCTGGCACTGGTGCAGCCACTGCTGGAATACTGTGTCCAGTTCTGGTGTCCACAATTCAAGAAGCATGTGAATAAGCTGGAGAGGGTTTGGAGAAGAACCACACGAATGATTAAAGGATTAGAAAGCCTGCCTTGTAGTGACAGACTCACAGAGCTCAATGTTTTCAGCTTAACAAAGTGGTTAGGAGGTGACTTGGTCAGTCTAGGAATGCTGACATGGGGAATGAAAATTTCATAGATGGCTTTTCAATCTAGCAGACAAAGATCTAACAAGATCCACTAGCTGGAAGTTGAAACTAGACAAATTCAGACTAGAACTAAAATGCAGATTCAACAGGAGGGTCATTAACCATTGGAACAAGTTATTCAGGTCTGGGGTGGATTCTCCATCACTGGAAATTTTTGGCCAAGTTTGCAAAGGCCTTAGGCTCAACTTGATAGCATTTCTGTGTGGAACATGATCACTTTTAAATGCCACATCTGATCAAGTCCAAAATTTCCAGGGGTGTTGTAAGCATCAAAGGCCAGAAAACCAAAAAGGGGGACACACGAAGCCCCCGCCTATTAATGCTTCTCATATAATACCCCATCTCTGCTCATCCAATAGTGTAATGTTGACAGCCTGAATTATTTCTATCAGACAGAAATAATTGGTATAGGAGGGGAAATGGAGGACACTGGTGTGAGAATGGGGGGGCAGTCCCTGAATTCTCCCTGTCTAGGGGAATTTCAGAGGGGGGTGGGAAGGTGGCAGCCAGGCAGCTTTTGGGAGAACTCAGCCCACACAAGCTCCAAAGTGGGCATCCCCCTCGTTAAATCTGACGGGATGCTTTTCTCAAATCCCCTTTAGTTCAAACAGGAATGCATTCAGGGATGCTCGAGGGCCTGCGGTCAGGTCAGACCAAGTGAGCACAGTGGCCTGTTACTAATCCAGACAGATGCTGGACCCAGCCAGGGGCTGAGTGGGCTTTCCCTCTCCAGTTGTACTGGAAGAGTTTGGGATTCAGCAGCTGCTAGGCAGCATGGCTGGGAAGGTGCTAACAACAGAATGGACAGAGGGTCAAATTCTGTCCTCAATGCTGAGAGCATGCAGCACCTAGTGCTTAAAGCAAAGGGCCTGCTGGGTTTTATGGCTGACCCAGCACATGACCTCAGGCAGTGGCACTGAGCCAGCAAACTGGGGAGGGAAGATGGGATGTGGAGAGTAAGGGTTCCATCCTGGGAGCAGCACCTACTGCTTTAACTACTGATTGCATCCTCAGCCCAGCACCCCCAGCAAGAACTGGGCTGCTCCCTGCCCCCTCCCGCATTCCCAGCCAGGCTCTTTGCAGGGAGGCTGGCACAGTCATTCCCTTTCCGCAGGGTTTGGATTACAGAGGCTCCCCCCAGCCCAACTGCAGGAACATCTGCTCCAAAAGGGCCCCCATAACTCAAGCTGCCCAGAGAGGGCAAGCGGGAACCCCAGGCCCAGAGTGCCCCATAGGCTGCTGCTCCTTCAGGGAACAGAGCCTTAGAATGGGCTTCCCAGCCCTGAGTGCTTGGGGAGGGTCCTGGGACACAGGCCCCTTCTCACTTGCCCTCTGTTAAATTATCACCTTCAGCAGCAGCTTTGAAACCCCATTCCAAGTCCAGGCCAGTGGGGCAAAGCCCCCCACGGGGGTATCAACAGCAGCCTGGCTCCTGCCTATGCCCACTAATTCCACACTGGAGCCCACACTCATTCTCTCAGGCTTGTGGGGAGGGTAGGAGCTGGACTGCCTAGCCACAGCTGTTTTCCATCTCCTCACCCACGCAGCTCCCTCCCCCTTGGTGGCAATACTGCCCCCGCTGAGGGGAGCACACAGCACTGTGCACCAGGGCAGGAGAAGGGGAGTCAGCCCATTCAAACCCCAGGGCTGTACCTCAGGCTCTTTACTGACCATGGGCCAGGCCTGGGTGTCACATCTCATCTGGAGGATGGTATGGTCCTGCACAGCAAGTGCCCCCCGCCCTCCCAGTCCTGCCCCACACCCTAATGTTGCACTGGGGCCAGCCCTGAGAGTAAGGGGAGAGCACCTCCTGCAGAGCTTGGACTTTTCTTTGTGCTATCCCCTCCCCATAGTGCCCCCATTGAGCATGTGGGGTAGGACAAGATCACACTGTAGGAATGGAGAGAGCAGAGGAATCTCTCCCCACAGACTGCCTAGGGCAGGGCATCTTCCCTACCCAGGCAGAGCCACGCCTTTCCCCTCTGACTTCTCCAGTTTTTCCTCCCAGCCTCTGTCTATGCAGCACCTGCCATGACAGACCCCACTCTTGGCTGCGGGGCATCTGTGCAGCACCCGGTGTGACAATGGGGTCCCCATCTCCGCTTCTGGGGGGTGATAGTGGCAGCGGCATTTTCTGTGCAGCATCTGGCACTATGAATTTGTAGTGGGGTCCCCTCTCGGCTGGTGGGGGTCTGCTCAGCACCCATCCTGCTGGCTGCCCTCTCCAGCTCAGCTGGGGCCTCCTTCCCGTCAGCCCACCAATAGCATGGGGGAATAATGGGTGGCGGCGGCGGCAGAACAGATGATGTTTATTAGTGTCCCTGGTGCTGGGGCTCGCGCTGTGGCACTCCCCCAGGGAAGCTGGACACATACCCCCCCACAGCCGCTATGCTGGGTTCCAGTCCTGGGGAGGCGAAATGGTCAGTCACTTCTCTGGGCTCAGTCGGGCAGGGGGAGGGGCAGAACCACGGTGTGAGGGTGGCAGAGGGAACCACAGGAATCCAGGGCCGGGGTGGGGAGGGAGCTCCGGTCACAGCACGCATGAGCCAGGGCGTCCTTCAGCTGTTACACTTCTTGGCCACTATGAGAACGGCCGAAGGCACCAAACCTGTTGGGGCAGGAGACAGGCTGAAGCCAGGAACCGGGTGCATATGGGTTGTGAGGGGAGCAGGTTTGATCCCTGAGAGTGGGAGCGATTTCAGCACGGGGGTCTGAGCTGGAAGGGCCCTGGGTGTTCTGTGGTTTGCATCCTCCCCCAAGACCCTGCGGTGGCTGGTGCCAATAGCTGGCACAGCTTCCACTGCGCAGAGAGCCTACATGGCCGCAGCCTACCCTGCCCAAGTGAGGACAACAGGGACAGAGCTGGCTCTTGCAGTGGGTTCTCTGCTTACAGCTCGGGCTCCTGTCCCCAGCACCAGCCAGCAGCACCACCCCACAAGCAGACTCCATGCCCTCCCTTCTCTGATGGGGGCCCCAAAGGAACAGCTGGTGGTCCTGCAGTCATGAATCCCCAGCCCAGATCTGTTCTCAAAGGACTCCCCGCTGTTGCTTAGTGGTTAGAGTAGCGGGGTCTGGGAGCCAGGACTCCTGGTTTTGTTCCCCAGCTCTGGGACGGGAGTGGGATCTAGTGGGTCAGAGCAGGGCAGCTGGGAGTCAGAACTCTTGGTTCTATTCCCCAGCTCTGCTGCTAACCATGCCCTCAAACCAGTCCCTTTGCCTGCCCCTCCCACCCAGGCTTACCTAGCTCCTGCAAGGGCTTCTCCATGTCCTCGTCGGTGAAGATACGGCGGGGAAAACTGGTGAGGAGATGGAAGGGCTCCCCGCCATCCTTGCGGTTCAGCTCTATGTACAGCCGCACGGCTGCCAGCTGCTCCTTGGCCTTGAAGGTCTGCGTGAGCGACGTCCCGTCCAGCAGTCTCACCTGGATGGAGGGCAAGAGGGGCTGAGTGCAGGCCCCATGCCACAGTGGAGCAGCATGCTGGGAGGGCCAGTCCCCCTGCGTTAAGAGGAGAGCTGCCTGTGTTCTCCTTGTCTTGCAACTCTGGGTGTGATCTCAGAGATAGAGGGCTTCCTCCAGAGCTGCAGCAGCAAGCCAGATCAGGCCAATATCCCAGTGACTGCCTGGGACCCCCACCACCCTTCCCAGCAAGGCCTGCTGTCTGCACCCACCCAGAACCCACAGCAGGGGATGATGGGGGGTAGACTGGCATGTGTGTAACGAGCAGATGGACGAAGCACAAGAGTCTGTGGGGCTGCCCCCTACCCGGGTACCTGTATTCGGCACTGGTCATACTCTCTCTTCGTGGGCGGTTCCTGGCTGGGGGATGAGGGCACCGGTGTCTCCTGGGCTGACTCGGCTGGGGCCTGGGAGCTGCTGCCACCTCCAAACTGGATGGGAAAGGTACACGGAGTGGGACAGGCACTAAGATGCAAATGGGTTCCCCTTCCAGCCCAGGCTTCCCTAGGGACCCCACCCACCCACTCCCTAGCACTCACACAGCGCCCCCACACACACACCCATACCCAGCAGGCACAGGGCAAAGCCACACCCA